CCCGTATGAGCAAGCACTTGGTGACAGTGGGAAGGAAAAACTTATTTTGTAACAGGAGGAAACCAGGGAGGGGCAGTCATCTGCCACGACTGATTGAGGGTAAATACAGACAAGAAGCAATTGCTGCTGCCCATCAGTCTGGGAAAAAAACTTTTTAAAGTCCATCTTTCTAAAGTAAGAAATGTTAGTTACAATTGGAAACATTTAAGATAATTGCCAGTGTTGCCAGGAGTGGATGTCCCAATTCATCCCGAGGTCAGACAATGTAGCGCTCAGAGAAACTGCCAAAACACCCAAGAATTACATCTCAGACTCAGTCACAGCCCTCAGTTAGCATGAGTTCATGGGAGTACAGTCAGAAAAAGACCAAACAAGCTTAGAATGGTTGCCAAGAGAAAGCCTATTGCATCTAAAGAAACCACAAGACTTCTGGAACACCGTCCTTGGGCCAGTATAATCAAAGTGGAGATACTAAACATAATGCACAGCACTACATTTGGAAAATGAACAAACAGAGCATGTTAGTGTAAACATCTCATGTCAACTGTCAAACACAGTGGAGGAAGGATGATTCAGGCTTGTTTTGCAGCCACAGGACCAAGGCACCTTGTAGTCCTTGAGTCCACCATGAATTCCTCTGTATACCAAAGTATTATAGAGTCAAATATGAGATTATCTGTTTGACAGTTTGATCTTGTCTGAAACTGAATGATAACAGGACAATGATCCCAAGCATTTCTACAACAGAATGGGTGAAAAAGAATCAGTGCTACAATGTTCCAGTCAAAAACCTCAACCTGATTGAAATGCTGTGGCAAGACCTTAGGAGAACTATGCATAAATTAATGAACTAAAGCAATGATGTAAGTAAATCAGCCAGAATTCCACCAAAATGATGTGAGAGACTGATAAAGTCAGAGAGAAAACGATTACTTTAAGTTCTGGCTGCTAAAGGGGGGACTACAAGCTACTGGCTTAGTTTCCTAGTTGAGCAGATAAATAATGACAGTTTGATCTTGTCATGTGTTGCTGTTCATCTGGGGTTCTATTAACTTAATTTTACTAACTGGTCAGGACCAGATGATCTTCTGATATTTAAATCCTTATAATTAACTGTGGCATGAATATACAACTGCTGTAACTATGTGCAGTTAAATACATTTCTTTACCTATAAGTGGAACCTTGTTTGAAGAACAGGGCAGAATGTCATTGAGGATAAGCTGCATCACTGTAACAGCCAGCAGGACGGTGACTTTGAAGCTGAGCTTCTC